AGGTCCCTTCTGACCCTACTAACTATGAAACTATGAATCACTAGAGCTGTGTGAAGCTTCAGTCCCCAATTCAATTTGGCGGAGATTCAGCCTGTTTCGATGGCCAAATCTCTGAATCTGAATCAAATCAGGAGATCCTTTAATCTCTCCAAATCGAACTGGAACCTTCCGAATCGATTTGGAGAGATTTGGAAAGATTTGGCGATTTGGACATAGACACAGCTTTAAATGTTTTTTCTACATACCTCTAGGTAGCAGGGAGCTCGTGAATGCTGTGATGGTGGGGCACATGCAGTGTCCCACAGAAGCACAGAGGGCTCCCCAGCATGTTCAACAGCAGACCTGGAAGTGGACCAGAAGCACTTCCGGGTCTGCCAGGGAGCACACTGGCCCCCCCACACACAACTCCCTGGCTCAGTGCCTGGTGCCTCCTGGGTCTGGGGAGGGGGCACCTGGGGTCCCTGCATGGCTGATTGCCGAGTTGGGGGGCCACGGGGAGGGACCTAGAAGTGGATCGGAAGTACTTCCAGTCTGCTTCTGGGTTCACCACCGAGCATGTGGGAGCCCCCCCCCCCACACACACTCCTGTGGGACATGCCATGTGCCCCAGCATCACATTGTCCACGAGCTGCAGTGGTACCTTGAGGTATGTAGAAAAAACATTTAAAGCTGTGTCTTTGGCCAAATCACTGATTCTCTGAATCAGCATCGAATATTCAGATGCCGATTCAGCCAAATTGAATCAGGGACAGTGATCCAAATCAATTAATCGAATCACTGCCACTGATTCAGGCTGAATCCTAATCAAATAGAGCCCACTTTGCACACTCCTAATAATGACCAGTCTTTCATTGTCATGAGGCAGGTCTCTCCCCCAAGGGTATGTCCCTTCATCCATCAAGTGGAATATATAGGGAAAGTTTCATATCTGTGGTCTCTTAGAAATGGGCAACCACAATATCCTCATTGGTATCAGGCCCTTTGATCCAAAGGGAATGTCAGCTTCTCTTGTAAAGAAAGGGAATACCGTGTTATATTTAAATTTCCAGAACTACCAGAAGGGGAACTCTACATATATCAGATATCTGTTTTTCATGGGTAAAGAACATACTGAAAACCTTAGAACTTTCATTCTGTAAGGAGGGATGTCCTAAAGGCATCAGATACAGTTGTAAAGTACTTTTGTTCAACTTGTCATTCCTGCTGGCACTGGCATAATTGTATCCAAGTGAAAATAAGGATGTAAATATCTTCAAAGGGACTGAAATTGCCTCAACATTTTATAGTGCATTTGCAGTGTCTCTGGCCTTCCCCAGTGATTCAGTGTTATAGTTAGTTATAGTTGTTATAGTTCTGGAAGCAATTTATTCATTTGTGTATAGAAGTGACCCCTGTACACGTGAAGAATCTATTGATTTTTGTCCTGAAACTAATTAGAAAGACCTTTTATTTTGGAGTCTTTTTTTATTTGTATGTATTTATTTGTTTTAGAGAGAGCGGAAAAATACCTTCCATTGCTAACTTATAGAGTAACTTCATGCATTCTGCATTTCATGTTCTGTTGTTGGTATATTTTATTCCATATATGATGCCTTTTATGCTTCTCTGTTATATAAAATTCCATCTGTGACTTGCAGTACAAGTCTGACTTATTCCACATGCACTTCCTACTCCTGTCTCCTCTAATCAAGTCCATTGATACAGTACCTGAGTGAAGGATTGCTATGCGGTGCTGTCATCAGAATTGTCAGGAAAATATCTAAAGCTTTGAGATATAATGGAAGCCCTGAAACCTTTCCTTGGTCTAGTTATATCTCTTATGTTGTTACATAAAATTTCCTGGGAAACCAAAAAAATAAAGATCAAATTAGAATGCATGCCACAGAACCCCACACATTTTCCACTGTTATCTTGTTTTATTGGTATCTGTGATTCTAATATGCTACCTACACTGTCCTGATTCTGCCATTTTTTCTTCATCAAAATGTTTGCTGTAGGAATGATTCAGTATTTTAATCTCTGGTGTTGGTTGTGTAATAAATATGTTCTAAATTTAGCAGACTGGTTGGTGATTATATTTAGATGAAATGGGTTGACCCAGAAGATTAAGCAGAGTATTTGCTGCCTCAAAACCAATCCAGGTCTTCTATGATTTAAAAAGGGTGGTCTTCTGATGGTTGGTTGATGATCCACGTAGAATCATAGAATCAATGAGTCGGAAGGGACCTAGACAGATCATCTAGTCCGACCCCCTGCCATGGGCAGGAAGGAGCACTGGGGGTGGCAGGGGTCATAAGACCCCAGCTAGGGGTCACAAAGGCCATTCCTTCCATCTTGTGAAATGGCACAGATTCGCTTCAGTGAAGTCAGTTTCAACAGATAAATGATTTTCTTTATTTATGAAGAGAGTGGAATAAAAAATGAACTCCTCTTCCAATCCTGGGGTGTGTCCAGATAAGCACTGACATTTTTTCCCCAGGGACATGTAGCAGCAGGGGCCTCTTGGAGCTGCAGCCATGGCAGGAAGCCTGGCCAGCAGCGGAAGTGTGGCTTTGTCTGGCCAGGCTCTGGTTTTGGGTGGTGCACGCTGCCGCCACATGTACTATCCCACCTTTTTATGGTGGGGTTTTTTTGAACCTGGGATTTCCCAGGGTCAACCCCCCCCCCCATATTGAAATGCCTGGATGTTTGGGAATGCCCGTATGTATGGTATGTGGTGCTGCAGATGGGGATGCAGTGCCACATACTGAATATGTGCGCTCATCTGTTTGCAGCTCTACAAGTGGCTGTACGAATAAGGCCTTATCATTAAGGGTATATGAGTTTCAGCTTGCATCACTGAGCTTTTTAAGGATGCAAAGCTCTGATTTGTTCCACCATTTTAAATGTGTTAGTAGAATAAAAGTAAGAAATGAGGTTGCCATGAATTTGCTCCTCAAGACAGGAACCTTCTCTGTAGGGTGCCAAACATGTTGCCAATCCACAGCAAAAAATAGATTATGCCCTTGCACTGGTAAGATTATGTCCATGCTTCATTCAGAAGTACATTATTTGGTTGCATCCATGTGTGTGGCAATCACTTCTGTTCACCCTGTCACCCTCTAATATTTTGCTTAATTTTTCCACTTATTTTCTTTGTTTTTGCATCCTTTCAATTTTACCTTTAAGATACATTAAGTATCCTGAGGCGAATGTCTCCAATTGGGATTTTGACTTAAGTAAGAAGTTGGAGATTTGGCTCAATGTTTAAAAAAAAAATCATCCATGAGACTGGAACTTAGCTTTCAGGGTTGTTCATGTAAACCCTTGCATTAGGAAATCATTGTGTCAACAGTTTTCAAGCTCCTTTTCCTTTTTCCCAGTGGCAAGACTTTTACAATGTCTTAGAAAGGGCATGAAAAATGATTCCACAATACTGACTGCTCTCATGCCAATAGTTCATCACCAAAATTTTAAGCATGTGCATAGACGGAGGGAGAAAAAAATTTGGAGGGGAGGGGGCTGAGCACACCCCCCCCCCCAGGTA